GAATTTTGTTCTAACGAAGAATTTTGTTCTAACCAAGATTTATTTTCTTATTTTAAGAAAAATTTTCTTGAATTCTGATTCTTACCTAGAATATTTTACTTACCCACGGGACAAGTAAAATTTTCTTAAAACAAGTAATTTTGTGCTTAAAACAAGTAATATTTTCTTAAAATAAGAAATTGATTTTTTGCAGTGCAAGCTAGAATATAGAAATATTGAAATATAAAAATCTTACCGGTGAATAAAATAATCTTCTAGAGTTCTAGTACTTGTTTGGAGAATTCTCATACATACAAACGGCGCAAAAACGCAGTATCCGTTGTAAATCAAGCAAATTGCCGGGAAGAAAAATATCAAGATTTTCAGTGAGATATTTTCCTCAAAAACAAAATTTTTAGGCTCAAACCAGGGGAGTGAAGTACATCGTCGAAACCTTACGATCGCGGTTGGGACAGTGGTAGTTGCCATGAATCTAGGGACCAGTAGTCATGGCAATGGCGTCAGATCCTCCAGTAATATAGTATAGCTCAGTGGGAGCAATGCTAGGGAGTTACAGGTTGACGTTATTTCGCAAAACGTCTAACGTCAAACCGCTGGAAATGCCGTGATATGTTTCCCGCCGTTTTTTTTGCGTTTTGCTTCACGTTTTGAACGTCTGGCTACGTGTCTAGGGGTAAGGGGATTACTTCAAGATATTATGAAATAAATAATTAGTTATTACACGTTTTCTTAGTAAATTAATAACAAGGGCTACTTCTTGCTCTATTACAAAGGTTTTGTTGACTCCTGAGTAAAAAATAATACATATTTTAAGTGTTTTAATTGTCACTCGTGTTAAATGTTGAAAACAAACATGTTGTCCGAATGCCAATGTGGAATAATCATTAATAAAAACATAATTTTACATATTTTTAACTAGCTTGATTTACTTCAAATAAGTGTTTTTTTCAGACCGTAGTCTGTTTGCCCTGTTTTTTTGCGGGGTTTTTTTAATATATAACAAAATAAGTTTATATAAAGTCAACATTAGTTCTTTTACCTTCAAATATGTAATAGTTCTATTCATAATCATAGAGATTTTCTTTTTGTTAGGTTTGAATCATGGCTCCTTTTAGATCGCCAGATACAAAACATGATATTGCACTAGCACAAGAAGTGTCGGCAGCTAAACCAGTTGGTTCTCAAGATTGGGAGATTATTGCAACAAGGTTAAGCACCTTATTTTCTACTGAAGACAAACCAGTCGAGTCAAAGGCAGGGTGCGATAATTCAATATTTTTAGCCGTACCTGACTGGTACTCCGACAACTTTTGCCGCGTACCTGATCTTGTACAAACTGAAGAGTCAAGACGTACCTAAAGCCCCGTTTACACTACGCTCAATTTTTGGTACGGCACGGATAAAATTGGTACCCGTACCACTTTTTGGTTCTTGGACTACCTATTTAGCTAAGCTTAAGCCCCGTTTACACCACGTTCAATTTTTGGTACCGTACCACTGTTTGGTTCTTGGACTACCTAAATAGGTAGTCCAAGAACCAAAAAAGTGGTACGGGTACCAATTTTATCCGTGCCGTACCAAAAATTGAGCGTAGTGTAAACGGGGCTTAAGACTACTACCGAGTAATGCGTTTTCATACCTACGTAAAGTTTACTGGTCCAAAAGCAAAAAATGTAATGGCATTTATACAACATAATATAACAGTTTTCAAATCGTCGACGTTGTTACTCGAATGCCATCGCTCATTTACAGTGGATTTACCAAGGGTTCTAACAGTCTGACCTCAGCTACATACAGTGTAGTTTTCCTCATTGGGCCTAAGAAAAACCTGTGGTTCCGGTTTCATATCGCGAAAAATTAGGTTAGGTATAGGTAGATATTTTTTTCATGGTTTTGGCGGTTTTTTGCTGGGCGATTTTCAGTAGAGTCCCAACATCAATATTAACTAGAAATGCGTAGTTCCTACGGACGAATTTAGGCAATTTGGTTCAATAATTACGACAACAGTCGACATTTTGGCACGCTGTACGAGCAGCCCGCAACCACCCGGAGAAAATAGGGTCCTAATGGGGTTCACGGGCAAAAAAAAATAGGGTCGGTCGGGAAACCGGAACCACAGGTATTTCTTTATAGGCCTTGGTATAGCATTGGCAATTAAGCCCAGGTCACCCCACACAACGGTAACGATAACTTGTAAACAAGCGGTGATTGGTCAAAAAAATTATATTGGTGTCCACACTACAACGAAAATGATAAAATTATCGGCGTTTGACGATAACGATCTTAAAATCGCTCACACGAGCGATTTTTTTTTCATTCGGGCGATGACGATAAATTTTTTGAATGAGCGCAAAGATAACCTTTTGGCTTTTTTCATCCCAAAGTATGTCGGATGCGTGGAATTTACATGTACAGCTAGAGTTACTGACGGTTTTGAATACTTTGGCATGTTTGCTAGTTATTGCTAGAAGGAAAATGTAATACGCGAATGGCAAATTTCCGCGAACCTACGTGGTACTTGCCTAAAAACAAAGAAGTACCAGACCATAAATTTGGCGTACCTCCAGTACGTTGGTACGCGAATTATCGCACCCTGTAAAGCGTAGGGCATGTAGGGAGAGAATGCAGCGTTTGATAGAGAAGTTTAAACAGGAAGATGCCAGATCCCTGAAGAGGTACTTAACATTTAACTAAGCCCCTACTAAGGGGCTGTTTATATGAGAACTGAGATAGCCGCTAAACGAGACAACCCATGTACAGTAGGGTACTTACGTGTAGTTACTAGCTTTTATGGTCAAAATTTAATTTAATTAATTTATTAACTTTGCCCGCATTAAATTACAATAACAAAACAGTGTGGCCGTTTCACCGCAACAGCTGATTGCCAATTACTGCGGGCCCATTTCTATGTGCTTATAGTGGGCTGAGATCTCACTTACCGGGATGAATTTTTTTCATACAATACAACTATAATCTGAACAAAATTAACTCATTAAGCTGCATTGTATTCCAATGCACGGTACTTCGTCATTTTTCCTGTCCAATGCCAGACAAGTTCACTCCGCAAGGAGAGCACAAGCACTGGCACTCATCGGCTTAAAGAAACTTTAAACAAAGTGATCAAAAAATTTATGTAATTTGTATTTTTTGCAGATCTGGAACTGAGGAAGATTATGGAGAGCTCAGTCAACTTCTCGAAGACATTTCAACCTACCGCAGAGATTGTATTGAAGCAAAACAGATTCAAAAAGAAAGAAAGATGAAAAAAGAAGAGGCTGATAGGAAACAAGCTGAACATATAAGAAACTCGGCAATGGGAAATTTAGGTAGTAGTACTAGTAGACTTATTTATGTTAATTATTAATTACATGTTGTTGGAGACATTTATTGGTTGCTAAGTTAATTTACTCTCCTTTAACACCTGAAGAATTACTAACTCAAGTCTCTGACAAAAAACACTAATCATTTTCATTCTATTTCAGTCCGGAAGCGGTCCCAATTGAGTTTATCTGCAGATGAGTCATCAGACGACAATGAAAACATTTCTTTAGATGAGGGTGAAAAAAATAACTCCCAAGAAAGGTAATTTTTATTTAATGCATATATGATTTTTGTATTTACAATGGAAATGATATATGGATTAACAAGCATGTGATTCTTTTTAGTTTCAAATCATACAGCCTTTAAAATGTTTAGTACCAAACTTAAAGGGGGAGGTGAAGAACAGAAATACAACAGGGAATGACAGAGTATCGTTCTCAATAAAACCAGTCTATTATATATTGGAGTCTCTAAAAATTTACACTCGAGATTTCCAAGAGATGTCCCAAACCCAGATATTTACCTATATTGACATGCCTTACACAGGCATCACCTTGGACTATGCACTGTAGCTCAGTTTTTTAGAGCACTCCAACATTTTTAGAAAATTGATTTCCCCCACAATCCTTCAAAAAGTATTCAAACCTGGGAAACAAGTTCTTGATCTTAATTTTTGCAGAAAATTTCACAGAATCTTTAAGACAATAAATTACAAATTAAACAATTTTACTGTAAAATTGGATCTTAGTTGCATTAATTTTAGTTGCACATTCTATCTTTTCTGAGGGTCTTTCTGAGGGTCTGTCTGAGGGTCCAGACACTTTCTCCAGAATCCCAATTAGGTCTACCCATTATCCATGGTTTAACCGTGACCTCTATTGTGCGAACAATTTCTTTTGAAAGAAACACCAGCTAGTTGAATGTACTCATGAAAGAACGACACATAAATTTTTTAGTCTTAAATGCAGGTTCTCACTTCCCAGAAAGAAAATGAAACTATTTGTGGGTTATACTTTCTTGTTAAGGTTGTACAAAGAAAAAGAAGAAATTTTCCAGTATGAGTGCTTTGGAGATGTTAAGTGACAAATACAGGAAAAAAACAGAATTGAAAGAGAAAGAATTGAATGTAAGAATGTCCGACTTGGAGTTTGAGAAACAAAAGTTCAACCTTGAATTAGAAGAAAGGAAGCAAAGACATAAAATGGAAACGGAAGAACGTCAAGAAATGGTTGAACTTTTAAAGCAAAAACTCTAGTAAACTTGATTTGTTTCAGGACAAGCAAGCACCCCATCCCCTCAAATTTTCACAAGTTTAATGAGGTGTTTTTGTATATTTTTACAAAATTGTGGGATTTTTTCACATGTTGATATATGTTAGAAGATATTAATTTATCATGTTTCAGGTTTGTTATATTATAATAAAAAATGTCAGTTTTATGTATTTGAAATGTATCTTTCCAATGAAGGTGGATCTAAGTTGAAATACTTTCCAGTTGCAGAACCATATAAACATGTATGACAATTGATTAACAAACTTGCCACAATATAATATTTTGCAACAGGCTGTAGGAGAATCTTGAAATTCTTTTTAAAATCCAAGAATGCAAGATATTGTGCTATTTTCCCAAATCCCAACTCAACGCTTACTCGAACTTTACTCATAGCCCTATTAAATGCTTTCTCTGCTGCAGTCAGGCCAGCCTCTCTAAATGGTGCCAAGATATTATTTGTCAGACCATATGCGGGATCGCCATACAAAACATAAGGCTCTCCATCTGGCTTTGCTATGTTTCTCAGTTGATCCTCCAGACCACTTTCACCAAGCATAAAAGAATCATGTCTTCTCCCTTCAATTGGGCCAAACATGTTGGCTATAAGACCATTTGGTGCTTGTACAGACTGTAAGCAAAAAATGAAAGGAACTCAGTAAACATCATTTCAACAAATAACGACAGGCATGTGCACAACATGCAAGCATCTCAACTGCTTGCCCAAAAATGTAAAAATTAATTTTAAGGAGAGGAAGGGTCAGAGAAAAATCCCCTTATAGTTGCTATTTGTTATAAAATCTATAAATAAACCAATTCAACAGTAATTTTGCCTCAAACTTGCATATTCTATGACTGCACGTTTATATTTTTATTGTATAAAAATAAAATTGTAATACTATGAAATAAAATACATTTCTGTTTATTGACCAGTACTTATTTAATGTCTTCTCCTTCATCCAGTGGTCCTAGTAAATTTCTACTTCTAGCAAGTAAATATTTGACAAGCAGTCTGGAATAAGCACTGGAATAAACACAATAAGCCATTTTATAGTAGCAATATGAAAAGTTTTTTTCTTTTTCCATGACTTTTAATGCATCAGCCAAATCCAAGTGTGCCCATCCCCCTCGCCCAGCCATTTTCCTGTAAAGCACATCCCGGGGGTTGGGCATTTCCCCTCAAACGTTAGCCCCGGCGAGGCATTTGAAATTAAAGGATTTGGAGGTTTTGCGATCACTGATAACTTGATAATAATATAAAACAAAACACTTCCATCCGCAACTTTTACAATCACTGATAACTTGATAATAATTTAAACCAGTCAAGTTGCAGTTTAAAAATTCATAAATTCGAACCACGCTAGAGCATGACAACAGCAAAATGCTCTTGAGTATGATGCACAATATTTTGGGAGGTGAAATACATGAACAACTAGAGGGCACTCAGAGACTGCATACCTCCGCCTACGCGCAAAATATTGAAGTAATCTATTGTTATTAGAATTTGAATGGCTGGTGCATATATTATGCACGTCCTAATTACGCATTCAGTATAAAGTTTTATTTAATTGACCGGGAAAAGCAAGACAAACTTTTGTTATTTCTCATTCAATTTTTAACCAAATTCAACCAAATTTTAATTAGTTCTTCCTTAGCCGATGGGAAATGCACTCACAAAATTTCGTACGGATATGTTTGGTATTTCTTGAGTTATCGTGCTCACAGACAAACACACACACACATACACACACACACACACACACACACACACACACACACATACACACACACACACACACACATACAAACCCAGATGATTACATAACCTCCTGGCGGAGGTAACTATACATTCACATATAACCTGTCATCAGGAGGTTTAAGAGAGACTAACTGTTTTTCAAAATTCCGGGTAAATGCAGGTATGTCTACACCTGACCAACCTTTTATATTTGTGCTGGATAACTGTATTTAGGTAGGGGTTTTACTTAACCAACTTTTACATTTCTTGATGGTAGAGGTGTGATGCACAATCACTATTTGACTTTTGTTTTTTACTTAATTGTTGCTACAGGAGGAAACCTGAACTAACTTGATTTATACTGAATGACGCTATCTGTTCGAAACAGCCTGAATGTTTCCTATTCGGAAGGAAATTTTTGTCTTTTTTCCCCACCCCCCTCAAGTGAAAATTCCTTTAGAAAGGCAATGTAATGACATGCACATGCATGGTAGAAGGGAGGGAGGTCAACGTACGTTTCTTGCGAAAATAAAACGTCCCAAAAAAGTTCTCCAAACATTTTTTGGGATAATGGGGGAGGAAGCGTTAAAAGTACGTTTTTCAAAGCTTCATCAACCTCAATTTTTCACAATCTGATTCCTTAATATTTAACACGCTCCGAAATTCCAGCATGTCGGGGGCCCTCTGGGGAAATTCGGTCCTTTGGGGTGTTACACCAAGGGTCCTTGACTTTTCTTCGGGGTGCTACACCGTCACCCCCCCCTCAGTAGTTCTGGCCCTGTGGCGGCCGCGGGGCCATATAACTCCTGATGGTTGAAAAAGCAGATGAAAAATTTTCGAATAATAGCTCTAAAGTTCCCAATGCTTATTATAAGAATGTTCAAATCCGATCAGTTTACAACATTGTTGAATATTAAAAAACGAGAGCTGTTATTTAAACTAGATAGAATCTATACAATAAGACCATATTCACGCATCTTATTTAAGTAACAGTACAATATAGCGCGCCAAAGGCGCGCAAGAGAAAATTTTAAAATTTACGGTCCCTGGAATGGCATTTCCTGCATTCTGGGCGAACGTTTTACGTTTGATAGCATTAAGAATGTTATAAACATTCTATGTGGGGGAATATTATATACCCCTGCCCTCTTTCTACGCTTTTTGGCACCCCCTCCCCTATGTGCGTATGCATGCAAACAAGAAGACACTATGAATAACCCTGCGCATCATATAATTTTTAACTTTATTACTTATTCCAAAATAATATATAAGCACGTTTGACGAACAATCTGATCGAATAATCTTGATTCAGTGTTACTACAGAAGGAAACCTAAACTAAACTAACTTTATTTATACCTTGTGTTCAATATGTAGACCACAGTAAGACTTTTTTTAAATGTTTATTTCATTAACAAACGACGTTTCGGAGATTTACTCCATCTTCAGGTAGTAGGATTACACTTTGAATTTAAACTAACATGCGCATGCATAAACGTTAAATTGCGACCGTTATTCGCGCGTGCGAAATTGCGTAAGCATATAAAATAAGCATATAAATTTATATGCTTACGCAATTTCGCACGCGCGAATAACGGTCGCAATTTAACGTTTATGCATGCGCATGTTAGTTTAAATTCAAAGTGTAATCCTACTACCTGAAGATGGAGTAAATCTCCGAAACGTCGTTTGTTAATGAAATAAACATTTAAAAAAAGTCTTACTGTGGTCTATATATTGAACACAAAATATACTATTAACATGAGACTTAGGGAAAGTTCGTTCCTAAACATTTATTTATACCGCATAGCTCTATCTGTTCTAAACTGTTCTGGTCCAGTAAGGATCATCCCTTATTGATACAGTGTTACTACAGGAGGAAATCTAAACTAAACTAACTTTATATATACTGGATAGCTCAGTTCTAAACCGTTCTTCCTAGAGGTCCAGTAAGGATAATCTCTTATTGATCCAGTCTTACTACGCAAGGAAACATAAACTAAACTAACTTTATTTATACTGGGTAGCTCTATCAGTTATAAACTGTTCTTCCTTGAGGTCTAGTAAAGATCATCTCTTCTTGATCCAGCGTTATTACAGGAGGAAACCTAAACTAAACTAACTTTATTTATACTGACTAGCTCTGTATCTTTCAAACTGGCCTCCGCGTATTGAAGTCAAGTAAGGAACAGCACTTGTTAGTTCAGTCATGATAAAGTCACACTGGATGCACTCTTCTCACATGGGAGTGAAGCGGTGAAAAATTGTATTCATACAACAGGGTATTGCAGGAATCAAACCCAAGTCACAGAGATAAATTATATACATGCACACTGTACCCTTTAAGCTTTAAAGATTTCTATATATTATCTACTGACTTTGCTATTAAGTAAATTCCAAGCAGGCAACATATATAAAGATATATGCAGGTATATGGTAGCTAGTATTGTTGCTGTGCCCATAGTAAGAACAACCTCTCTTCTCTCAATATTTAGGCAACGATAGAGAATGGCGAAGGTCGGGAAGGTCGCTATTATTATTGGGGCTTAATACTCGATACCCTCCAGGTACGGATGTTTACAATATGGTTTGACATAGCCAAGGGGTGGCACAGCCCCCCCCCCCCCCCCCC